ACTGCACTTTATGCAGTTCTTCAAATAATAAGACCAAAAATGTAATGAAAAATAAATTATGACCATAAAAAATCAAACAGAAAAATTTAAATATTCAAACCAAAACAATAAAAAAAAATAAACTAAAACCTTTTTGAGAACACGTGTTTGTTGACTGGCATTAATAAATAAGATTAAACTTTCAAAAATTAAATAATAAAAATGTAGTCATTACATTTTGTGTTCGAAAGTTGATTGATAATTTACATGTTTAACCCTTAAAATAATTACTGTTACATCCTTTCATTTTACTATTAACAGTGTATCATATGACATTAATAGATTTAAAATACACATTACAAAAAACACGAAAACAAAATTTATATTAAAACATTATATGGGTTTAAAATAAAGTGAAAACAAAAATGTGGTACTGGACATTTTTACTATCAAATATAGTTTTGAATATAGTTCAAATGTTTTTTTTTGTTAAAAAACAATGAAAAAAACCGCAGTTTTTTCAAGTAAAAATTTTAAAAATCTAAATTTTACTTCTAAAACCTTTTTGAAGACAAACTTATAAATTTGTGTAATTTTAATGTTTTTTATTAATAATCAAACAAAATGACCAAAAAATCACAACAAAAATGTTTATTTGTTTGAGAGAACAAAAATTCAAGGGTGCAGCCAGAGCTTAATTATGATAATGTAATGAAACTTTTTGGAGTATCCAAGCGGGATATCTCAAATATAAAGAAATATCAACAATATTTTAAGTATAAAAAGGTCAGTATATTGGTCATTTGTTATTATCAATTAAGTTTATTCGTTTAGGCATTAAATATTGTGTTTAAGTCTATATTTTGTATTTTCTATTATTTTGCCTTATTTGTAGTCAATCTATTATTTTATTTAAGTCTGTGTTGTTCTAAAATCCACACAGCCTTTATTTTGAAATATTTGTTAATTTACAAAAAGTTTGAACAAAAACCGCGGAATGATTTAAAAAATCTTGGGACAAATTTGCGATTTTTTCTTCTGTTTTACACAAAATTTTCTTTAATAAGTATAAAAATATTAAAATATAATATGGTACTGTGGACACTAATTCAACATTTTTTGGAAGCCAAACAAAAACAAAAAATGAGGAAATTGGGGTTAAGCAATTTATTGGTAGTACCAACTTTTTGTTAACAGTTTATAGTAACAAGTATTGAATTTATATTATAATAACAAATTGGTTTTATTGTTTGTACAACAAAAAAATAAAATGACATAATTCGGATTATCAACACCTGTTTATTAGATATTTTCTTATTTTTTTCATTTTTATAAAAAAACAAAATTAGTTGTGTTTTCAATAACACACTTGATAATAAAAAACAAGAATAAATGTTTTTTTCAAAAAACAACTTGTTAACAATTTTGGACCAAATTCAACAAAATTAATTATCATAAAAATAAAAATTTGGTTTTGCTAAAAATGTTTTATATTATCTTCAAAAAATACAATGTCATTTACAATAAATTATAAGGTTAAAATTATTACAAACATAGTGAGATGTTGAATTGTTGAATTATTTTTTATTTAACTAAATAATGTGGTTTATTATTATTATTTACAAATTGTATATTTTTAATAATATATACATTTTACCTTAATAAAATAAATTCAAAAAAATTTGAACATCTTAATTATTTGTATAATTTTAAGTTCATCTCTAATGACTCTTTACTTGTTTTTATCAAACAGTATATCATTTTATTGATACTAAAATTAAAAAAATCATGTTAAAAACATTGTATTGTTTATCATTGTTTTGTGAAAAAAAACAAGTAATGTTTGTAAATAAAAAAAACAACATATCAAACAATTAAATGTTCATATTATTGTTTTATAAATTATTCAAGATAGAGATAGTTGTGATACATTACAAATTTACAGAAATTAACATTTTTAAAAACACATATATTAAATGGTATAACAAATTGTTTTTTGTCTTTTTGTTTTTTGTGTGTTTCTTTTCTGAATAAATAACCATTTTTTACTATAATTTACTTAAGTATTTTTTGTTTGACACAAACAACAAACTATTACCATTAATTTAATTTACTATGTTTTAAAACAATTATAAACAAGAAGATTTGTAATGACTTTTAAAAACTACATAAAACTATACTTTGGATTTTTCGTTTTTTGTATTGTTTACCATCATTTGAATGTGTATAGTTTTGACGATTTTATGGCTAGCCAATTTTTATCACTACTGGCTGACAAATCCTAATTAATTTATTCAACGAATTAATAATAATAGCTACAAACACAAATTTGGCTGAAAATATTCAAAAATTAACACGGGTTAGCCACTAATTAATTTCAGTTTGCAGCCCCTATTTTGAGAATTTTAAATTGATTTAACCATATTAATATCGTTTATATTTTTAATGTTTTACAGTTATTTAAAACCTTGTTATTTTCCAATTCAAAAAAATATAAAAAAATATTCGCCGTTTATCATTTTTAATAGTTTTGGAAAACAAGAAAAATTGTAAATAATACATTTTATGCTTCTTTCTTTGAAGGTTTTTTTATTTTTAACATATTTATTTTCTAGATAAAGTTTAGAGCAAAAAAACATTTGAAAGATCATAGTTATAATTTTTTATTTTTAAATGAATACAAAATATTTATACAACAAAAAAGTAATAATGCAATTAAAATAATTAAACATAACACCCAAGAGTTGGACATTTTTATGTTGTTTGGCACAATTAAAACATCAGAAGGAAAATACGTGGCGTAGCAGTACAAAAGATATTAAAATTTTATATTTAATTATTAATATATTATATTTTGTGCCTAATCAAAAAACAATTTTATTTTTTTAAAGGTAAAAATGTATTAGATTTTATTTATTATAATATTATAAATCTTAAATTAATATTAAAACTCAAAATTTAACCATATAATAACAATCAAATATAGTACAGAAAAAAGTGCTAATTCAATATAATAAATGTATAAAGAAA